GTCCCCCGGAGCCCCGCGCGGCCGGAGCGGCGGCGCTGACCTGGGCGCTCCGCAGTGCAGCACCGGGCGCCGCTCCCGCCTGGCCGCGCAGGAAGTCACCGGGGCACCGCGATCGTGGTGATGAAGCGGTACCAATCGTGCAGGAAACGGTCACCGTGGCAACGGGGATGCCGCGAGCAGCCCGGCGGGTGAASTGCAGCGGGCAGGGCCCCGCCGCCCGGTGACGACAGCCGTCCCCAAAAGTCCCCGCGGGAAACGCAGAGTGCCCCGGTTCTGGGAAGCCGTGGGTGTCYGGGCCCACGGTGCCTGCGGGGGCGAAGCCCAGCCCAGCGCCGCCTGCTCCCCGCCGACCCGGCCACCCTGGTGCCCCCGCACCGTGGAGGCTGCCCCTGTGTCCCGCAGCCGCGGTCCTGGCCCGGGCACCGCGGAGCTGCTCGTGCGGACAGGCCCTGCTGGGCCCCTGTGCTCGGGAGCGGGTCCCGGAGCTGCCGAGGGCTCTGCAGCGGGAGCTGGGAGCAGCCGGGCTCTCCCTGAGGATTGCTCAGAGGTGCCATGTAGCCGCTGCACCCGCCGGAGCTGCTGGCCTCGGCTCTTATGGAGAGCAGCAGACAAAGGGCCCCTGTGCCCGGCGCTCATCCGGGCGCCTGGGGCAGCGGCGGCAGCGCCGCGTTGCGAAAGCTTTGGGCGGACTCGCGCTGACCTCCCGGCGGCTGCCAAAGGCAACACGTGCGAGCACGGGGACCGGACCGGAGCGGGCAGCGCGGGGCCGTGGGGAGGGCAGCGCGGGGCCGTGGGGCTGCTCTGCGCTCCCACATCCGCCCCGATGGCGCCTGCGGCCGAGGGCCTCTTCAGGCCCCTGCCAGCAGCCGCCATGGGGCCAAGAGCCACCGACCTCCCCGCTTCGCCCCATAAGTGCGGCCACCTTTGCCCGGCAGTGCCCGTGTGAGGCCGGACTGCCCTGCGGCCCTGTGTGCTGGATCACATACAGGAATAAAGAAAAAACAACTTCTACAGAAAAACGGGGTGGGTTTTCAGCCTCCTGGCTGCAGGGATTGCTCAAGTGTCAGCACTGGGGCCTGAGCGCTGTGGGGCAGCGTGGACGGGTTGGCCGTGGGGAGCACCATGGGCCCCGTCAGGGACGGGCAGCGGAGCGGGACAGAGGCCCCGCAGGCGGCGAGGAAAGCAAACACGCACGGGGACGGCACACAAGGGACACAGAGGCACCTAATCAATAACCAAATATTTACTGAGAGCAGCGGGGACGCGCTGGCCCCTGCTCGCCGGCTGCCGGCCCCGCGGGGCAGGGCCACCGAGGCCTCTCCCAGCCCCGCCTGCACGCTCCCTGTTCCCGGGCCGGGATCCTGATCCCCCTTCCCGGGCTGCGCCGCGGATCCCCCTCCACGGCACGTCTGCAGCGCCTCCGAGGCTGCGTGGCCCCGGCCCCCCGTGGGTGTTCCCGGCCCCCCGTGGGTGTTCCCGGCCCCCCGTGCGTGTCCCCCCCCGCGGGCGCGCGCGGCGGCAGAGCCCCCAGGGCCGCGCGGCGGCAGCCCTGACCTTGCCCCGCGCTGCAGACACAACAGCGGCCGCGCAGCCGCTCAGGCCTTATCTGCCCCCRCCGCCAACAGCCCCGAGGCTGCAGCCGCCGCCGGCGCCCGCTCCCGCCGGGGCCTTGCTGCGTCCCGGAGCCCCGTGCGCGGTGCAGGGCCAGGCGGCGCCGCCAGCGCCCGTATCCCGGCCAGTCCCGCGCCCCAGCGGGCTCCCGTGCCCCGGCGCTGCCGTAGCGGCTCCCGGGGCAGCGGAGGCGCCTGCGGCCCCTTTGCTGCAGCCTCGAGGCCCTGCCTGGGGCGCAGGGCGCTCCGAGCCCTTCCCGAGCTCCGCGTTATCCGCCCGGCTGGACCTGCTCCAGCCCCGGCTTCGCGCGCTGAGGCTGCTCCCGCCCACGGTGACCCGGGCTCCTTGGGCGGGAAACGCAACGGGAGCCCACGGGAGCGACCCCCCCACCGAGGACACGGCGCCGAGGGGGAGCGGGGCCCGCGGCTCCCGTCGGGACAGGGGGCCGGAGCTGCTGCCCGCCCGGCCCCCGCTGCGCCCGCAAGGGCCGCGGCCACGGGGCGCCGGGACGGCCGCTCCTGCCCCCC